CCCTGACAGACTGAAAAAGTGTATTTCTGTACAGATTCTGCCATGGTGCTGTGACAAAAGGCTGCATTACCGGAAACTCGAGAAGCCTCTTTCGAAGTGTAAAACACAAGTTCCTACATCACATTTGCACATCAGTTTCTTGACTGTGTTTAGTTTATTAAGTGCAGGCAATAGGAATTTAAGTGATATACTAGTATTTCTGTGCTGTTAATGCAATGAGTATGCATTCTGTGGGTATTGGTGCTTATTTGTGGCGTACCTGTGTTTGTGTGGTGCCGTTTGTGAGTAAAGCTGTAGACTACAAATCAGTTTGTGGAGCTACATACTATTCATGATTTTTGGTAGGTCATCCATAGATTACTGTCATGGAATAGTTTTGAGGGAAACTAGATCTGTAATGTCCAGATTTAGTGATTTCAGGATTTATGGAGCCAGACGCAATAAGTTTCATCAACAGTACAGTTCTAACAAATATATCTTAATTTTTTCCTGCTACTTACAACTTCTCAGTATAATAACATATTCATTTTGTGCCACTGCTTTCAATTTCTGCTTTGTTTGCATTATTGTTTCCTTCAGTTTCCCTGCCTTTATTTCTCAACCTATGAATAACTTCAGAAGGCTGAAGCAGCAGCCCAGGTCTTTTGTTGTTGATAATAAGATTGATTAATTTTGCTTGAGGGATGTTCCACTTACTTGCATTACATTATTTTACACTCCCAGGTGGTCTCTTCTCACTGGCTCTGCCATTTCCCACTTGCCAAGGAAAAAAAAACATTATATTATCTAGCAACTGCTACTGATGTTTTACATCATTAAATACAACATAGACTTTCCAAGGAACATGCTCAGTTCTCTAGTATCTCAGTTGTATGAAAACCGTCAAAACCAAGTGGAATGGCTACACATCCCAAAATACACATTTAAATAGTTCTGGGAAATATGCACAAATGAATGCAAGTAAAGTGGTTACCCTTTTTGCCGCTCTGTGAAATTAAGTAATGCCACTTTAATGTTCTAATAATAATTGTATGGACATGTAGAAAGTATGATAAGAATACTGATTAGTATTTTTCAAATACTGTGGAAAAAAAACAATGAAATGTAGGTATCTGACATATTGAGAAACATACAGGTGCAATATGTGCAAATGGATACTTTCATAAGCAGTCAAATTTTTATTTTTACATTGTTATCTGCATATAGAGTTATAGCATCTGCCAACATATTGCATGGTTTATGCAAACAATGACCTATTTTAGCATATGCATGCATTTTGAGAATATATCCTTGTTACTCAAACCTGTAAGATCCATGGACAGAGTGCATCTCTGAGGTCTGATAGGTAAATCTTAGGTGCGGTAATCTACATACCTTGAATATGCACTGGCAGGAGTGCATATTCTAATCTGTATGAAGATTAGTATATCAGAATAAGAATTTCCCTGTAGGTTTTAAAGAGTAATCTTCCCATGAAGAACTACACTGATGAGCAATTGCTGGCGAAGAGCACAGCGTAGATTGCTCTATGAAAGGTTTTCAGTTTATATAAATGTCCTGGACTAAGAAGTAAGCAGAAAGCTAAATGGAAAAGAAATAAGAGAATGACCAAAAATTGCACTACTGAGGGAACATACTTCAAAGCCATAAGCAAAAAATGCTCAGGGCCCAAAAAACCAATACAGCAATTTAGGGATGTGAATAGGAATTTTCCAAGAGAAGAGCACAGTTCACTTCATTGCACAGACAGTGCTACAGGGTGCACTGCACAGGTTTTTTTGCTGCCTTGAACAGCACTTCATTGCCATTATTGCAAAGTCATCATATGCTGAAAAGAGTCTGCCTGTGAAGGAGTTGCCTGTAGCTGAACCTACTGCCTACTCCAGTCATTTAATGAAAGTGATGTACTCTACTGATGTTTAGGCAGTTTAAAAAAATAGATCCCAAGAAGCCAACATGCACCAATTTCTTGACCTAGGCCTGTGAGTTACTAAACCTCCTGACTAATTAGTCCTGTCACTGATGTCACTGCTGGTCCTGTACCATGTGTATTTAAAATATTTACATCATGCTCAGAAAAAAAGTCAATTTATAAATAGCAATCTGCTTGAAAATACATAAATCCATATTTATTTTTAATACTTACAAGAAATTCCCTTGACTTCATTCATTGCATGACTCAAAAGAGATAGTGAAGGCATTTAGTTCAAGTACAGCAATACCAACTAGAATGACAGAAAACTAATTAAAACCCATTCTGCCTAGTGGTATAATGGTATTTGAATAAAAATTATAATAGAGTGATATTCAGCAACAGCACTGCATGAGCACATGCATACTCCCCAGAAAATTTTACATAGAAGTCCTGACATCAATTATATCCCATAATGAAAACGAATCCTATTCAAGAATTTATTTTTACTTCCTATAGAAGAAAAAGCTGTATGACCACAAATTTAACTCTGCTTCCGTCTTCATTACCATGACCACACACAAAAGTTTTCCTGTAACAGTAGTCTGCTTTCAACGCTGATTTGGCCTCCTGTGCCCATTTAAGGGCCTGATATGCCACCTGCTGATGCCAGTGGTGAATCTTCACTTGATTTCAGGCATGCAAGGATAGGTCCTTCCACGGGTGTGAAATAGGGGCAAAACTGCATCGTTCTGGCCCCTAAGCCTACAAACTTTACATGAGTCCCATGGAATTAGTAAGGGTTGTTCATCTAGTAAGAGGAAAGCACAGGTGTTTGCATATGCGGAGCCCTATTTGATAGCAGTTTCATACCCATTTTCCCCAATATACATGAATGCCAATACCAACAAAAAGTACAGGGAACTTAAATAGCATTATTTCACGCTTAGCTTGTGCCGGTGACACATTTGATTATTCAATATATTCCAACATGTGGTGTTCATTTCTTGAGTATATGCTGCACCTTAGATTGGTTTCTCAGTGTAATAGCCATTCACAGCCATAATATGATACAGACCCTTAGAATCAAGATTTGATTCTTAGAAATGCACCTTATTGTTTAAAACCAGGACCCCTGCTCTTCTGATGTTTTAAACACTGTGATCTTTTGAATGTGTTTATTGTATTAGTTTTGTATTGCAAATTATTATAGAAACTAGATTTTATAGCTTTTTAACAGCCGTGATAATAGTAAGCTTCATAGTGGCAGAACAACCTCTGTGTATATCCATATTATGAATCTTAAAGCTGTGATTATATTTTGCCTTAAATAAAAGCCCAGCCTTGAACAGTATGATTTTGCACTGGATCGCTTATTTCTGTACTTACTTTCCATAGTGCTGGCAACTTTTCCTTCCTGAGCAGTCAGGGCTTAGGGCTCCAAAAGCTTTCCAGTGGTACTGTTTCATCAAAGGTAAAAATCATTCATCTTAGATAAAACATCCAGGCTGCACATCGCAATTAGGTAAAACTACCCTGTGGCATCTCTCCCCTTGTGAGAGAAGATAGGTTGCTTTTGGCCTGTAAAGTTTTTCATTTAGGTGTTTATTTTCAGCCTCCTTAAAGCTCAGTATACATAGCCTCTTCTCTTTACAGAAAGACCCCTCTCTTCCCACTGAAGGGCACTACAGCATTAAGTTCACCAAGACCTGCCTATAACAAGGTTTATTGTCATCATGAGCTGAGCTCACTTAAAGGTGAACAGGGGGGACTCTGGATTTGCCAGTGCAGCAATGCAAGAAATGGCCCAAATAAAGTGTCACTGGTATTTTCTGTATAAATCTAGTGACAACCCAAGTTGCATTATAAAATAGTAGCAGGCATGCAGAAATAGCCATTAGTGTTACCCCATTAATAGACCAACAGCATCTCAAACTCCATTATTTTGTCTTCCTGTTGTGCTGCTGGTAGGTCTCTGGTCTGTAGCTAACCTCCACCTCCAACTAACAGACGGCTGAAACAGTATCTGTCAAGGCAGGCATCAGATCCAGCTGATCATGAACCAAGTACCTGCACCAAACAGAGAAGTGGCAGTGATAGGAGACTCCCCTGGTGCAGGATGGAGGCACCTTCTGCTGACCTGATTTAGAACCTCAGGAGCCTTGTTTCTTGCCAGATACCAGGATTCAGGTTGTTTCGGAAAGACTTCAAAGGTTTACCTTGCCCTCAGGCTGTCTTTTATTGCTTGTCATCGGTGATGTTGCCTGCTGGTATGGGTGACCTTACACATACCCAGAATGCCTCCAAAGCACTAGCGGCAAGGGAGGAAAGCACGGGGTGGTCTAGCTCCTGCTGGTGCAGGGAAAAAGACCCACGGACAGCCTGCAGATGCCGCTGGCTGCAGCATGTGTTGCAGCAGCACTTTGGGTTTTATGATCCTGGGAGCCTTTGAAGGCAAAGGCCTGTCAAGCAAGGATAAGACCGACCTGAGAAAGCCCTAAAAGGGCAGCTCTGTCAGCAGGCTCACTGGCAGGGTGAGGAGGTCTCTGAACTAGGAGGGGTTCATCATGGGAGGGTCACTGTGACTCACAGCACCTTTCCTGCATTTGTTTTTTTAATCAGATTTTAATGTTTCATAGGGTAATTTTCTTCCAGGTGTAGCCCTTTAGCCTGAAAGGAGGCAGGGGCACTTCCTCCTCAGCATGCCAAAGCCCCCCTGCAAAGAGCAGTTCCATCTTTCCACCCACCCCACCCAGGTCAGTTATGTATCTTATGGCTAAAGGAGACGCGAGGAGGGAGTGCCCTTCCCATTTACAGCGCAGCCCAGGCGCTACCGGGACCAAGCTCCAGCGCAGCCGACCGCACCCACACCGGGGCCGCCAACGGGAGGTCCCCGGCGACCCCCGCGCCTTGCCTCGGCCCTTCCTGGCTGGAGCCCGCTGGGCGGCGGCTGCGCCAGCGGCTCCCGTACGGTGGACGCCCCCTAGTGGGCGCTGTGCCTCAGCGAGCGGCGTCTGGGCGGGCCGGGCCGGGCTGGGCCGGCGCGTGGGGCGGCTGCAGCGCGGCGAAATCGCCCCCCGTGGGCTGTGACGGTGCGGGGCGGCCGGCGATGAAATTCCCGGGCTCCGTCCTCGTGTCGCTCGTCCTCTTTGTGGCCGAGACGGTGGCGGCGCTATGCCTGAGCGGGGCGTACCGCGCGGCGGGGGACCGCATGTGGCAGTGGCTGACGCTGCTCTTCGCCCTCCTGCCCTGCGCGCTGGTGCAGCTCAGCCTGGTCTTCATCCACCGCGACGTGAGCCGCGACCGCCCGCTGGTGCTGCTGCTGCACCTCCTGCAGCTCGGGCCCCTCGTCAGGTCGGTGAGTCCCGCCTCGCCCCGTCCATCCCAGCTCGGCGGGGAGAGCCCGCGGGGCTCGCTCGGTGTCCGGAGAGCCCCGGCCTTTGCGCCACTCCCGAGCTGCCGCTGCTGCTCCACACCGGTGTTAACCCGGCACCGCATCCCTCCCAGTCCTATTTCTGAAGCTGCGGAAAGAATCCTTCCTTTTGCAGGGAATCCTGTCCTTAGGTAGGAGAGCGGCGGGGGCGCGGTGCTTTGCGGCCCTCGGTAAGCGCTTGGTGTTGGAAGGAGATGGGTGAAGCCCTCCGGAGGGGCGGGGCAGGGCAGGCGGAGATCCCGCTCCCTTTCCCGGGTGGCGTGCCTGCCCTTGTTTTCTCTCCTTGCGGCTCTTTGCAAACAGCACTGATCGGTGCTGGTTCCTCCGTAACACTTTACCCTGAGGTTACCTCCTAGAGAGAAAAGGAACACTTGCTCAGTCGCTAGTTTAAAACAATGATAGAACCCATCTCATCTGTGCATCTTCGGAAGACCAGTAATGCTGTAGTCTGTCTCCTCTTTCCAAAAGTGAGATTCTTGCCCCAAATTGCCTTGGAAATTTTTCAACTTCATTTCAGCTTCTCACGGAAAATGCCCTTAAGGAAAAAAACCCAATAGATACATGAAAAGTTACAGAAGGAGAGAAGTACCATGACAAAGTGTTGTTGGGCTTTCATTTGGAATTTACATTCAATTCTTTCTTTAAAGAGAAAGGCAATAAATACAGTATCTCTGTGGTAGAGGCTAGGAAAAGATCCCCAATTTTTTTAAATTCCTGGACAGTGTGGAAAAGGACGATTTGTTCACATTAATAAGGGTGATGTTTGGATGTTACAAAACATCTTAAACTTCAACCCCCCATTGAATTCCTCTATAACTGTGGCTGGATTGTTTGCTTCTTCTGTGAATATTTTCAAGATATTTAAGTTATAGTGTAACAGTTAGGTTCTTGATATTTCTAAAAGCTAAAAACAAAATACTTCCATGTTCTTCAGAAAATAAGAGTGGACCCAAAGGGAAAGCAACTACCAGAATAAAAACTATGCTCATGACTTTTGTCATTCTAAATCAGTTTCTTGAGATTAGACAAGGAAAGAATGTCATGTCAAACTGCAAGAAGTGCAGCAGCAAGGATGTAAACAAAATCCACAAATTAGAGGATTTTATTTCTAATTACTGGGAAGAGACATAGACTTCTGCTTTGACCTTAACCACCAAGCACAATTTCACTTTTCCTTTCTCAACAGAAGTTTACCTGTTTGCAACAGAAGTTTCATCTGGTGCAGAGCACACTCTGTACTGTGTTGGCAAGCTCCCAGCTGCAGTGGCTGATGTAAAAGTAGTGTGTATACAGCAGCCCTTTTCTCTCCTGCCCTCTCCTCTCCATGATACTGGAGTGTATGAGTGTGTCACCAGCTCTGCATTTGTGCCTTTCTCAAAGATTTACAAGTTGAGCATTTCAGGAGGTTTGAAGATGCTCTGGAGATGTTGTAGTGTGCCTGTGCTGCAGTTCCCATGGCATCCTTTAGGCAGTACAAAGTGACGTGTGTTAACCTCTCTAGACCCAGGATAGCTGGAATTATAATTACTGATAAAAAGAGGGTAGTGCCACCTGAAGAAACTTACTTCCTGCTAAAGGCATGAAGGACTTTACAGATCAAAGGGGAAAAGTTTTGTAGAAAATGACCTCTCTTTAGATTTAGGGAAATGTGTCTATTTGTATGACAGAACTGAGGGAAGGTGATGTGATCTGTCTGCGACAGACATTAAGGGTCTCTCTTTTGGTTCCTTGTCTTCCTATCCACTGCCACTAAACATTGTTTTATCTGTCAGAAGAGGAAACTGATCATTTCCCGCCAGGTGTAGATGTGCACTGTAAAGTTGAAGTGTTTTCAGCATGCTAAATGCCTTGCCTTTCCCTGCTTTGCACAAGAGGCTTTCTATTCTGTGTGGACTGGAATACACGTAAGTCTGAGGTGATAGCTAGAAGACAAAGTATTTTTTGGCTGTGTCATCACTTCATTGTAGCTTTAACCATTGTAAGCTGAAAAAGACCATTTTCTCTGGAGATGTTTTCTCCCATCCTTTTAGGCAAAGCTCTGCTTGTTTGAACCAGAGAGTCCAGCTGCTGTTAGTCATCTGCTTGAAGTCACCCAGTATGAAGCCTCACTCCATTCCCTGTGTTGGGTCTCTCTTACATCTCAACTGTCACAGCCCACAGCCTTTTAGGGAGGGCTGGGTTAAATTATGTCAAGTAGGATACATAGTCACCCCACGTTATCCGAACAAAATGTTAAGGAGCCCTTGGGCTGTGTGAAATGACCATGCTTCAACAGAGGGCATTCTGCTTTGTATGGCTTTAAAGAAGCTGACACTAACTTTTTAATCAGCTTGGGTTTGCGACATGATACAGGACAGTATTTCTCTGTTCACACTCAAATATCAATGCACTGCTTTACAGACAGCCCATGCATGTTGTGTGAGTTTCCTTTATCATCTTAAAAGCTAGATGTTTTGCTCCCCTTCCTTTTTCCCTTAAAAAGTCAAGTTTAAATTTTGGGGAATGGTTTGGCAATATCTTGGCAGGGAAGGAGGCTATTTAGCTTTGCAAGCCAAATGATCCAGCCTATTTTGAATCCTCTCCGTGATGGGGGAAAAAGTACATTCTCTCATAAAACCTTCTTGCATACCACCACCTTCCCCAAACACCCACACTCCACCTGTTCAGGAGGCACTTGCTGTCCTGCTGCTACCACTGGAAGCACTAAAATTAGGAAGCATCCCTTCTCATGCAGAGGACTTTTGCTGTACTGGGAGAGTAGTGTTAATGTACCCAGTTTTAATTCCTTCTCCCACTGTCTAAGAACTTCTCTGTATATTCAGAGCAACTTGTAGAGTATAATTCCTACCTCCTTAAGTAGCCTGGCTCTGATCCCCAGGATGCAGGCATGCCTTAGACTATGCAGAGAGTTGGCTAGAGCAAAGTGACTGCAAGTTTCTAGGGACCATGTGGTATTCCTGCAGTATTTCAGGTCCGTGGCACTCCTTGTGAACACGCTTTGTCTGGATGCTTAGAAAATGTATTTGGATACTGTTTCTCTCCCTCCTCTCTCTCCCTCTCTCTCCCTCTCTCTCCCTCTCTCTCCCTCTCTCTCCCTCTCTCTCCCTCTCTCTCCCTCTCTCTCCCTCTCTCTCCCTCTCTCTCCCTCTCTCTCCCTCTCTCTCCCTCTCTCTCCCTCTCTCTCCCTCTCTCTCCCTCTCTCTCCCTCTCTCTCCCTCTCTCTCCCTTTCTTTTTTTTTTTTTTGTAAAATTAGATCTATATTTTTTTGCCACATAAAGTAAATTATAACAAAAAATTGTTTTAAATAATAGTCAATGTCATAATATCAGCAAGAGATTTAACATTTTTCTTTTCTTTAGAGAAAATCATGGTAGGCTTTTTGGCTCATTATCAGCTGCTCCTGATCCAAGAACTGTCTCTTTGTTCCCTGTTCATTTGAATGACACCTGTAGCACTGAGATTGTCTCAAGATTTTAGGTCGTGTTACAATTCCAATAAATATCTGGATATATTTTTGCTAGTGTACTGCCCTGCACTTAGGGATTTATTCAAAGTGCAAATAACCCTTCATGAAGGGTGCCTGAGAAACCCCTGTTAACTTCCTTGCCCTTTTCTGTTCTGCAAGCAATGGATAGGTCGGGGGCTGAAGCTAGTAGTACAGATTTCTGACAAGCTGGCTTGAGCAGTTGGGGTTTATAGTCGCGAGTTGGGGGTGCTGGTGGTATTGAACCATAAATCTGCTGGGTGTGGTGGTTTCCTGCGATCTAATTTACTGCTGACAGTACTGAAGTGACATATCCACTAGAGACTGGGGTGAGCTTGGCAGTGCTTCCTTCTGGTAGCAGCTCCATTGAGAAGAAAGCTAAGTGACTGCTGGTGTCCCTGAAACTATAGTCCCTAGTGCTCTATTAGCTGAATGTGGACATACAGGCTCTTCCTCACAAGGAACATGCAATCAGGAGATGTCTCTGTCTGCAGAAGGATGAACTGCTCTTGCAGAAAAACATTGAAAGTCCCTGCCCGTGGCAGGGGGGTGGAACTAGATGATCTTAAGGTCCTTTCCAACCCTAACTATGCTGAGATTTTGTGATAACAGGCCTCTCTATAGGACACTAATGACCATTTTCCTCAGATTTTAACAGGACAAGGATATAGACAATAGACTACAATAGAGTTGGGGGGATTTTTATTGTTTTATTTGTGGTTTGTTTTTTTTTTAATGGGGTCCAGCTTTTTTTCTCAAGGCATAAGGAGAAACAATTACGTGTGTCTAGTATTGTGTAGACAGCAGCAAAGCAGATGCAGTAGGATGTTTGCGTCAAACTGCCAGGGGAGCTGCTGTTACAGTCAAAGTTAGATTCTGTAAGCAGGAAGTGAAAAAAACCCAAACCAACAAAAAAAAAATTAAAACATCTATAGACTGAAATCATCAGAGGCATTAATGTTTTGGCTGCCCAGTTCTGCAGTTTGAAATCTAAAATGTTCTTAACAGTGGAGATAGTCCTTCAGTCACATTGTGCAGAAACAGAAGGTCTCATGAGTAGTCTCTCTTTCTTATTGACTTGTTTTGTAGTTCTGAATAGCACAGGTCTAAAAGCCTCTCTTCTCTGTAGGACTTGGCTGACCTTGCTGTAGGAGATTCTGCAAGCTCTAAAATTTACAACTGTTGATGCATCTCTCTCTTTTTCTAGATGGGGAGAATACACCTAGACCCTTTTCAGGCTTTTTCATTTTTCCCTTGTTCTTGAGCAGGTGTGTTAGGTGTCCATGATGTGATGAACAGAACAGATAGTGCAGATAGAAGGTAGAACAATGAGTGAGGAACGGATCTTTGCCTGATGCAGGTAAGTAAATCTGCAGGGCTGACAAATCTTTTGTACGCTTCTCTAAAGAAAAGAAATTACTAAAAATTGAGCCATTAGGGAAATCTGTTTATACATTGGCAGTGAGAGTGTGTGGATAGGTCTTGAATAGAGATTTGTTCTTGGAGTGCTTGTTGGCTGAGGGAAGTTCTGGTTTTATTGCCTGCTCCCTCTTCACACCATTATTTTGCCTGCATTTAAATCCCACGCATCCATGATTAAAAGAGAGAATGAGGTTCTTGCTCACAGCAGGCGTGTAAATATAGGATTGTTCCTCCTACTGACTGTGTAGAAGAAGAATGTGTGGCTGCTGAATCACCCTGTGAAGACACCATCAGGATCCTTGAAAAAGTATAGCTCTTCTCTCTGCCAAGATCTGGCAGCAGGGGAGAAAGCAGCCCCATCTTTTACTTATCTATTGTTTTGCACTGTAAAGAGTAGATCTGACATTTATTCTCTTCAGAGTAACTTTAGTTCTTTCTGAGCCTGTACTGCGACTGCCATTACATGCAGTGAAAATGGCCAGCTGCTTGCCTTCTGCTGTGGATGGCATGGGAGGATGTATTGAAAGTACCCTAAACACCACTGCATTGCAGGAGATGGATTGTGCAGAAGTTGAGATCTCTCACTGCTGTTGCTTTGGAGGGGAGCAGTGATGAGCAGTGAATTCCCATTCTGTAGCAGTCTGTAACTGTGGAGGAAAACTGGCAGGAAACAATTGCTTTATCATGGAATCATAGAAAGGTCTGGGTTGGAAGGAACATTCAAGATCATCTAGTTAAAATCCTTCTGCCATGGGCAGAGACACCCTCTGCTAGATGGGGTTGCTGAAAGCCCCATCCAAACTGGCCTTGAACAATTCCAGGGATGGGGCATCCACACCTTCTCTAGGCAAGCTGTTCCAGTGCATCACCACCCTCATAGTAAAGAATTTCTTCTTAATGTCTGATCTAAATCTACCCTCTCTTGCATTGTCTCTTAGCTGTGTTTCATACTAAAAAGGAACAAGCCAGTTCATTTAAAGACAAGATGCCCAGCCCTTCAGAATGCACTTCACAGGCACAGTTGTAACCCACCACGTGTATGATCTGAATTGATTCTTCATCACTATTCTGAGCTCTTCTCACCTGGATGGTTCTTCAAGTGCTTACTAAAACATTTAGATTGGTGCTTGCTCTATCAATTACCAATGCTTGCTCTTTCAAGCACCAACCAATGCTCTTTCATCTCCATCAGATGACTGCCTGCTCCTGTTTGAAGCAGTTGCTTGGGCAGTGGCTCCAGCTAGAGTCTTGAGTGCATTTTTTATTTGCCCCAGAAAGCATGATCTCCAAGACACTTTCTGTGTGGGATGGTATGGGCAGGCCTTGGGGAAAAGATGAGCATCGTTACTGTTGTAATCTGAGTGCTTGCACATACCATTTTTATTCTCTGGTAAAAGTGCCCTTTGGCTCTAAGACTTGTTCATTAGACAGTTTCACATTGTGTTTGCTTTTCTATACAGGTATAAAATTTCCCATCACAAAATAGTATACTTCTACTTAATACCTAGGTAATATATATGAATCAAATGCTTGCTCCAGACCCCAGCATTTTGTTGATTATAGTATTTGCTATAGTCAGTAGTCTTATGAATTTTATAATCTGTATTATGGGATTACTGCATATTTCTTAGATGGGTCCCTAGACTGTATCCACTTCTAATGACACGCAGCAAGAGTTCAGAGGCGGATGCTGAGATTTCATTTTCTGTAATAGCTTCAGACTTGCCCTCAGCTCAAGATGAATAGATGGCTGTGAATACTAAGTGAGACAAAAATGTTCTGGGATCTTTATTTTGGAATAAAATCAGTGTTTTTGTTTCAGAATCTCTGTTGGCTTCATAAGATGTGCTTTATTAATTTTTCACACTTTATTTTTGGCTGCATGGAGTCTTTCACATGGAACAAGACTGGCAGGGACTGAAATGATTAATAAGGGGAAAATAGAAAGTTACCACTGTGAATGGAGCCTCTGGAACACCAGCACTTTGAATGGCTTTAGTGATAATGGTAGCTGATGCCTAGGGAATCAAGGATAATACTACAGGATCCTAAAACTGCTTTCCATCTAGAGCAGTTGAAAGTTGCTAGTGGTCCTGTTAGGGGGAAAAAATAAGTTTATTAAAATAAAAGTCAGTATGCTTTTATTTAAATTTTCATCAGTTTGGTCTGTTAGCTTTCCTCTAAAAGGCTGCGGTAAACTCTGACTTGCAGTTGTTGAAAAAAGTCAAGCTGAGGAGGAAACGGGAGTTCAAATTCTCAGACAAGCATAGTTCTGTGCTTTGTAATTGTGTGATACTTGTAAATAGAAGGTAAGCTTTATTTGTGCATTACAAACTCATTGGCCAAATCTGACCTGTCAGAGACTTCGAGGCTCTGCATTCCAGCAAGTTTTACCTACAGAGGCAGCCAGGTGAAGGAGATGAACCTCAGCAGGCACTATGGAAGGAAAGAAGACCTCAGTCCTTGTCAGAGGATGATGCTTGCGCAAAAGAAGATGCCATGTGTGTTGGGCCATAGAAGATGTGATGTGACCAGATCTGGTGCCATAGGTCACCCTCTCAGTTGAGGGTTTCTCCTCCCACAGCTTCTCTCTGGATTGGAAGACAGTCCTCACCAGTTCTGCTGCTCACACTGTGACTGTTTTATCTCTTGAAGCCTGTACCAGTGTTAGGCATAAAAGAAAACAGGTTGTGTCCACACTGGGTTTGGACTTCTGGGGGTTTTATTTTTCAGTAGTCAATGCCATTTATCCTTTATAGTCCCAATGTACATGGACAGCATGCCCTCTATTTTTAGGACCCCGTGCAATGTGGTAGAAATAGAGGTTCGTTCCTCTCTCTTCTCCCTCAGCTTGTGACTTCACCTGTAGCTAAGTAGACCCTTGCTTGTTATTACTTTCCAGACAAGGCTGAGTATTGCTGTTATGTGTTTTGGGTCCTGTGTGATGCCCAAGCCCACCTTTGACACCTTTGTATCCAAGCAGCTCTCTTAGAATAGCTTTTCAAAGCTTTTGTCAATCTGAAATCAGTTGTTGGAAGAGAGTTTCAGAAACTTTCCTTTCAGGCATCTGTCTGAGGCTCTATTATCTTTAATAATCAAGGAGCCAGATTGTCCTTTTTGCTATAGCATTTGCTGCTGCCAGCCCTCTAGGATTACTGTCTGTGTATATGTAGAGGCAGCAAATAGTACAATATGTAATTTATATATAGAAGTGGATGCGCTAGCACCCCTTTGTTACTTGGAAGTTAGTCTGTGGTAACTTAGACCTACATAAGCAAGAGGGTTTGTTCCCCCTGTGTTTAAAGTATGAAGACCTGCAGCAATTGGAAACACTGCATCTTCTTATTTTGAATATTTTTGCAAGATTGTTTAATATTCCTTAAACAGTGTAGAAAATGTAAGCAAATGTAAGGAGCAAAGCTCCTATTTCTGCGTAATTTTTAAAGAAATGTGAATTTCCAGGGTTGTGAGGTTTGTTCTCATTCTTGCTGCTATGGCTTGTTAAGGCAAGAGTTAAGAGTCCAACTGTTTATGAAGTATGTGTACCCACTCATACTCTGAACTCCTCTCCAACATCTTGAGACTTTTTCTTTAAGACACAAAAAGTGTTTTTACTGTAGCGTCCTGTTGGCATGTCACCGATGTATGGATAAGTAGAAGAGAAAAACATGATTATCTGAAGACAAACTTCCAACTTGATTTCTGTGTTAGCAGCCTATGAACATTGTAGTGGATGAAGAGTTTAGGGACTTTAATAGGACAGCAGAGAGCAAGGGCAGCTTATAGGAAACAACTAAACCTCCTTCCATATCTGAGTACTACAAGCAGCCCAAAGGGCACTGCCAGATTCTTGCTCTTTACTTGCATGTAGTTCGTATTTTTAAAGAGCAAAATCTTCATATTCCAAATTTACCAGGAGAAAATATACAGGCTTTGCTCTATGAACATATTACTTAAGTCTTAGTATATGATGGCTTAAAATACTTAGGAGTGGGAAGACCTATGCTTTCCTTTCATTTTTTTCCTGTTACATTAATTACTGATTTGCTTCTAGGTGTGTGGAAGTCTTTTACATTTACTTCCATGCTGGCAGAGTTGAAGAGCCGTATGTCAGCATCACAAAGAAGAGGCAGATGCCCAAGGATGGGTACTCAGAAGAAATTGAAAAAGAAGTGGGACAGGCTGAAGGCAAGCTGTGTACGCACAGGTCTGCATTCAGCAGGGCATCTGTGATCCAGGCATTCCTCGGCTCAGCACCCCAGCTCACGCTCCAGCTCTATATCTGTGTCCTGCAGCAGGAGATCACAGCTGCCAGAAGTAGGTAGAGCTATTGTTTTCACCTCTCTATTTTGGTGGGAGGGAGAGGAGAAATGTCAGCAGTCAGATATAGGTGTCATGGACAAGAATCAAACTCAGTTGTACTAGGTTTCATCTGCCTGACAACTTTTGATGGTTGTTTTGATGGTGATGTTGCTCTCAAGTTTGTCTTTATATGATCATATTTTAGACTATGACAATTCATGTAGCATACTTGGGTTGCAATAAAACCAGTAATTTGATAAATTGGCTATTGTGGCATGCCAGGTAGGCAGCTGGAGGGACTGAGCTGTCTTCTTGAAGAGATAAAACAAAAAATTACCTCTGTTCCATTTTGAGTTTTGAGCATACTTTCTGGAAAATTCCGTGGGGTGCAGTGTAGAACATGCTTTTCCATGCTGCAATAAGGAAGGTGTACTTTCAAGAATGTGGTTTTAAATATGGACTGAGGGAGTGAACAGACTTTACTTGTGCCAGACCCTGAATTTGATATCTAAAGGTAGGACTCACTAAGCTGGTATGCAAATGTGGCCATCTAATCTCTGGACCCAAGATGTTAAGCCTTCACCACACAGTGCTGCACCACATGGATTTACCAGGACTGTGGGACTCTGCATCTTGCTCCAGTTCATTGAAAAATCAGTCTTGATTTGCTGGCACACTGCTCAAAAAGAACCTATTCCAGGGGGTCATAGGACAACCAGCCTTTTGGTGTAAAAAGGGACTTTGGCAGCTATATGAACTGGAGGTGTGTTTCCCCTGAAATGTATCTCGTTCCATCTCTGAGGTCCTGAGAGGCCAGGGATCTTTACCAGCGTTACAGTTAGGGAGGCTGAGACTCGGGTAACACATTATGAATCGGAAGACTTTCTTCAGTTCTGGTGCCTTGGTTGGCACTGTACCAAGGTAAAGAACTAAGATTTTTAGAGAAGCCTTTATAATAACGTCAGGGTTCTCCCCTCAGTTCAGAGAACAGAAAACTTTAGTATTCCAAAGGATGAATCAGTGCATAACCATATTACAACAGGTTAAGGTCTTTTTACAAAAGTACTTGTTTAAGGTCATAGCAGTTGTTACTTGAAAGACATTACTCCTGACCTTACTTCACAGCTAGGGTAGTCTCTTTGAATAACCATGGCATCTGTGCTGTGGGATGAGAACAAAGCAGCTGAATCCTTTGCTGAGTGGTGCAATTAGCGGAATTTCCAATCATGTTGCTGCAGGTGGCATTTTTATTGTATTTCTTCTATTACTGGTGTTGACCTTACTGGTCATGATTGCCAAGGTGAAGTGCTGTGTTCCAGATGATTAGAGAATTTCATATTTAATGATTTGTAACTCCCTATTCTGACTTTTTTTGAGTCACTGCTGAAATAAATTCTGAATCACAGACTGATAAGTGACCTTCTGTGGGTGTAGTTAAACAACCAGAGATAAGCTGGCTCACCAGGGAGTTCAGTAAACCCACCAGCAAATGCAGTAGTCATCTCGTGTCTCTCAGGAGCCATCTCCATAGCAGGTGTAATTCTAAAATATAGACATTTAAAGAAAATGTGTGTGTATATATATATAAAGAGTGGTTTTCTTTTTTTTTTTTTTTTTGTCTACTCAGTGTTTTGGGAACAGCAGCAATGTCTGTTAGAGCTCATTCAACAGAAAAGCAAGAGTCCTGACCACATTCCTCTTGCGTATATTTTACCTTCTGAAATATTTACACTTTCTGCAATCTCTTCAGCCACCTTATTCCTTAAGTAGTACCTTCTATCCACCAGTATTATTCAGCCTCCAGAGTAAATAGGAATGATGCATAGCACAGTGTCAGCTTGTGGTTTGTTGTGTTGTCCTGGGTTCAGCAGTAGCAGTCATTTTTCTTCTTAATAGCTGGTGCAGTGCTGTGGTTTTGACTTTCAGCCTGGGTACAGTGCTGGTAACACCGATGTTTTTGGTTGTTGCTCAGTAATGTTTAGTCTGACCAAGGACTTTGTGAGTCTCATGCTCTGACAGGGAGGAGGGGAAGCCACGAGGAAGCAGAGACAGAACACCTGACCCAAACTAACCAAAGAGGTATTCCATACCACAGCATGTCATGCCCACTATATAAACTGGGGGCAGCTACCTGGAAGGGCTAGATCACTGCTCTGGTCGGGCTGGGTATTGGTCAACAAGTGATGAGCGGTTGTATTCTCTCTCCTTGTTATTTCCCTTATCATTATTATTGGTGGCAGCAGCAGTGGTTTGTGTTTTACCTTAATTACTGGACTGTTCTTATCTCAACCCATGGGAGTTACATTCTTTTGATTCTCCTCCCCATCCCTCTGGGAGCAGGGAGAGGAATAAGCTGGGGGTAGGAGTGAGCGAGCGGCTACATGGTTCTGAGTTACCAGCTGGGCTTAAACCATGATGTATGTACATGTTGATTCTTATGTACGGATACATGACTTTAACCTTTTGATCTTGCAGCATCATCAAAGAAATTTAACAGTCAAGCTCTTTCACACTTCAGATGTCTTCAACTTCCCTGTTTTTGACACTGATCTTCCAAAGTGCACTATTTTTTTTTCCGTTTATTTATGTTACAAATGTCACTGTCTCCTTGTCTTTTCATTTCCACATTTTTTGTCTTGTCTCCTCACGAGTCTCATTATTTCCTTTTCTTTTTTTTTTTTTTTTTTTTTTTTTGCATTCCTACACTAACCTGTCTGTTAGTTATTCTGTGTAAATTCTGCTTGGTCAGTGGTAATGAGATCAGTATCAGCTGTGAACCTAAAGCAGTTTACCATCATGCTACATAGGGTGGCTTGTCCCTTTCAGATATGTTTGAAACTCATTACTGCTTCCACTATTGAATTGAACAGTTCTGCAAAAAGCATGCATCCTTGCCTAGAACTTTGTCAACAAGAACCATGCTGCATCTTGTGTATTTCCTGACATTCATTAACTTAGCTGGATGTTTTCTTCTGGATGATCATGCCAGTGTTCTCCAAAATTGTCATTTCACTGTTCATCAAGAATATAAGATCAAGAGAACTAAAAGCAGGACAAAGCCTCTAGGTTACTGATGAAAGACAAAAAGCTTTGGTGACTGTTCAGCATGAAATGTATAGAAGTGTTGTTGGGTGAAATGCCACATTGGAAACCCACCAGTAATGGCCTAATCTGAGTCCTAGTTCTAGGCTTTCTTTGGTTACAGCATAACTGGGAAGAAGTTCCTAACTTGTTAGTGTATGAAATACCCAGTGTGAGTTTGTAATTGCCACTCCAGACCAGAAGCTAAGGTCTCTCTTGTGCATGTGGGCTTTGCCCTGTATTAAATGCTTCAGCATCTGTCTGTGTCATGCATTGCCTTAGAGCCAGCTATTACTTTGTGTTGAAGAGATGCCTGACATCAGGCTCAGGTCCACTTACTTACTTACTTACTGGGCAATAACCCAGACCTCTTCACTTAGGGAATACCACCTGGAGAAGTGCAGGGCCAGGAGGTGCCAAAAAGACCCAAGTTAATTACAAAACTCACAAGCTGGAGGTGGGGGTTCTGTGACTTTGCCTCTTACCCTTGAAAAAGGGCCAGTTCTTAGTGTGCAGTATTGAATGTGGAAGATATGTTTCTGGTAAGAGTGATCTTTTTGTAAGCTTAAAGTTTTTGTGCTATTAACGGCAGTCAAGTTATCTTTTCAAGTGTTGCTTACAGTGACAAAATAATCTCAGAAGGTGGATTTCTTACCATTTAAAAGTAAAATTATTCTGCTGAAGAAGGTACTTCTTTTTAAGTGAAAATCTGCAGCAGTCACTGCCATCCTCAAGAATAGTATTTTTTTTTGATTTTGCAGTGTCACTTTCCTAATGTTCATGACTCGGCTTTGTAGGTGGTCTTACTAGATATCTGTAAGATGCTTCTGCTGTTGCTTCTCCTCAACTCATTAAGCAGACTTCTTTTATCATTGTTTAAACAACATAGTCTGAGTATTAATAGTTGGTTTTAAGTGTTGAAATTATATCTTAAGGCAAAAAAAAATATCTAGGTGTCTTGCCCTAAGTAAAAAAGTGCCTTTATTTTTCAAGGGTTCTGGTTATCAGTTTAGAAAACTATAGTATAGAAATAACTTATGATTCTTCAGCAGAATATAAGATTTCAGTAATAAGTATTTGTGATGTAGTTCATCTAGAGCAGAATTCACTCTTTTAGCGATTTCTGAAGTGGGAAGCACCAGGTCTTGAAAAGATTTAACACATAATAAAAAAACAAAGTAAACTGGTGTCTCCCTGGATGACTGAGTGTGCACCTTTGATTTGTAAGAAAAGTTCAGCCTACTAGGAGCAAGAAGGAAAAAGAGAAATGCCACCTTTATAAGGACTGTTAGGGAATTTGGGACTGTTCCCGGGCCTTTCAAATTTTCACTTCTTTGCATGCTCAGTATGAGTAAAAGCAACAATAAGGTCACACTCCTCTGTTTCCCTTTGTGGTTGCTTCATACCATCTTTTACACAGACCTAAAAGTGATGTTTGAACTGAAGGTTTGGTGGCAGTACTGAGCTTTTGAGAAAAGAGGACTGGGCTACTATGTTAAACCAGAGTCACGAGTGATCTGTTTTCTATCAGTAGAGAAATGCTCTTTCAAAGGCTTGAGTTTTTAAGACAAGTTTGAGATCGATTAAAAAATCCCTGAAATAAAGCTGGGTAATAAGATGCATGTCCAGTTTATCAAAGCAGAAAGCAAGCAGAGTTCCAGGACAGCAGCACCCTGTACCTAGTGTGTAGGGGTTTTTGTTTCTTTAACTTTGAGAATATTCTTTTGTTTCATTAGCTGCTGGAGGTTAGTTGTTCTTTCACAGTTCTAGAGCTGGCTCAAAACTGCAGGAAAGATTCTTGTGAAGACCCACAGGGTGTGAAGCAGTGTTCTTGACTGCACTTGCTTGCTGCTCTGCTTTCAACCAAATTCTGCGAACAAGTACACTACTGAGTAAGAAAGACATTTTAAAGCACCTAATAAAAATCTAAGTGTTAAACAAGCAAATAAGTAACCATCTTCTGAGAATTTATGCACCACCAAACTGGCCTATAAAAAATTACCATATAATATGGCAAACATTTTTCAACTTAGTGCTATTGGAAAATTAGATATAAAGGATTAATTATTTTCCAGAATAATTCAGAGGTGATTGAGGATCAGGGTGGGAGAGAGGTTAACTAAAATTATAAAGAATATCCACTTAGCAAGTTGTTAGAGATCCTGAAATTCTCTTGTTTATTTCAAAGTCATGCTTATAAATTAATAACTTTAATTAGAAAAAGTCCTGATAGTCATGGCTATAGAGCTATAGCAAATCAGGGAATCCAGTTCATTTGTAGGACATTGACACATAAACTAATTGAATGCTGCAGAAAGCACTGGTTGCTAAGCAATGCAGCAGTAATTGACATAATCAAGAATTCCCAACTCTGATTGTTTTGTTATATGTGATGCATATAATGTTCTGTAGCATGACCAGAAAGCTTGATTAGTTTCATTGAAAGTTCCTTGCATGGACAAAATGTTAGATTGAAACGAGAAGTATTGGTTGGGGAATGCCTAAAATTAGCCCCTGAATCAGCAGCTAATTGGCATGTCAGTAAAAACTGTGAAGAAAGTATGCAAATGCTAACAGAACTGTGGGCAGTTAGCACTTTGAACATCAAGGTACTTTCTCAATGGATGTTTATTCTATGCATCCGGGTTCTTGTATGTTTGAACCTACTTAATGTGGCAAGACAAGACTCCTTCCTGGAATGCCAGAAAGCTTTTCTCCTATTGCAGCTGGAGGGGAAGCCAGGTAACACTTGGCTTCTGCCTTCACTTTCTAAGAATTTAAAAGCCATGAAACCTTCATTTGAGGGCTTCTGGATAGATGGGAGTTACTAAAAGTTTATCTGAATTTAAACACATTTTTTAAAAGTGTTGATTTTAAATGCATGATACAGATAGGTGTATAGGAAAACACAGTGTAGACAGGTGAGCAAATCTTACACAGTTGCAGATCTCTGTCTGCACAGGCAGAGAATGTGCAGGTGGTTCTGGGTTTAAATTGCTCAGGCTTTCAATTTTGAGCTCCATCACAGAGCTTTTCATTTTAGACAATTTGCTACGACACAAAACTTCACAAGCATTGAGGTATCTGCATGCCCAAATTACTCCAATATTTCAGCTCCTATTTTGCAGTTTTTCATCTGTATGGGGAGGGAGTGGCACCCCTCTGCCTTCTGGAGTACTGTGAGAGTTTGAGAGCAGGTTGGATACTCTTATGACTGAGCTATATAATTACCAAGGACAGTATATGTACAAACAGCCCCTGTCAGGGGGAGGAGGAGAGATGCTTCTGTTAAGTGCCTTTTTACTTTCTACTTGGAAAAGTAAAAAATGGAGTCTAAAACAGGAGGTAGGGTTAGAGTAAGAACCTAGATGTGTATACAAGGAATGGGGGATTTTTGCTGTGAAAACAGTTAATCTGCAATGTCTTTAACTTCTGCTAAGCTGAAGGTCCTGATCTGTCTTTTCTCTTTGTAGGTATTTTTATGGTCCTTTCTCTCCTGTCAATTGTATATGGTGCCTTACGCTGCAACATCCTGGCTATTAAGATTAAGTATGATGATTATGATGTCAGCGTGAAACCAGCTGCCTACCTCTGCATATTCATGTGGAGAAGCTTTGAGATTGCTATACGGGTTACGGTGTTGGTCCTTTTCAGTTCAGTCCTTCAAATCTGGATACTTCCTGTTGTGCTAGTGAATTTCTTTGGTTTTTTCTTCTACCCATGGATTCTCTTCTGGCAAAGCAAGTCCCCATTTCCTGAGAACATAGAGAAGGCATTGAGCAGGGTCGGCACTACCATTGTCTTGTGCCTTCTCACCTTCCTGTATGCTGGCATTAACATGTTCTGCTGGTCAGCAGTGCAGGTGAAGCTCAATGATCCTGACTTAATTAACAAATCCCAAAATTGGTACCGACTGACTGTGTATTACATGCTGCGATTCATCGAGAATGCATTCCTCCTGCTGATGTGGTACATCTATAAAACTGATATCTACCTGTATGTATGTGCCCCATTGTTGGTCTTGCAGCTCCTGATAGGTTACTGCATGGCTATCCTCTTCATGTTGGTCTTCTACCAGTTCTGCCACCCTTGCAAAAAGCTGTTCTCATCCAGTATTTCTGAAGGTCTGCTGTCCTGTTTCAAGTTCCTCTGCTTTATTTGCAAGCCTCCCAAATCCAGCATACTTATAGACAAGGCAGAGGTGAAATCTCCTGAAAATTCCGATGAAGCACAGAGCAGTAGCAAGACAATATATTCTCAAAAGGGGAATCCTCATCAAAGCATTTCTTCCAATGCCTAGTACACCTGGGAGCAAGTATGTGCCTTTGGAAGATGGCAGATCACCTGCTGGGAACATTGTGTATCTTGGACATTGTGTCTTGTGGATGGGTTTACTTTCTTACAGGTGTAGTACTGCATGACAACTGACAAGCTTACCTTTGTGGAAAATGTAGTGTATGAGTATGTGTATCTCTGTGTGTTTGTGTGCTGAGAGCAGTCTTTCTTTGTAGAATTCTATTTCAGGGTTTTCTTGCACATAGGTTTATTATCACATGCTTACTTTGACACCATAGAAGACATCCTTCAAGAACTGGCCTGATGCTCATCTCACTCAGGAAATCTGAGGATGGAAGGAAAGGCATTTTATTTCAGATAGAATGTTATTATGGCATGCAACCCTAGCATGGAAACAGAGCATAGACCTTGACTATATACTGACTGTAGCTGTGGTCTGCTTTGATCCAATTGCAGACTTTTTACACTCTAATCAAGTGTAATAAGATAATACTTCTCTCTGAGGTACAAGAGTTGGACTTCTACAATGCAGTGTAGTCTGGGTTGCCAAGAAACAGCCAATTAGCCAGCACTAATACTGAAATGTGACTTGTTACCGAGAACTGACAGAGGCGTTACTGGCTTTGCGCTGTTTCACCCTTCACATTTGCTGCTTGTTAGCAAGGGAGTTAAATTTAACACATTAATTGGGATTTTCTAGAATAGCTAATTTTTCTGACATCATTTGTCTAATACTTCGTTTGTGATCAGCTAGTATTAGGATGGTGTTCACTTTATATAACTTTAAATATCTGAAAGCTGGGCAGATAGTGTGAGCTAGTCATGTGGGTGCTATCCAGAGCACATCTCCAGGGAATGATTCAATCCATCTTATAAACATCCTCTTAAGGCAAGTGATATGAATCATTCTCTGGAGACCTATTATTCAGTGTTAACCAGATGCCTTGACAATTAGTTTTGACTTCCATCTCTTTTTCAGATGGCTAAAGTTAAGAGATGAGCGCTACACTGATTGTCAGGGAGTTGGTAGTACACCAAGCAGGCAACTCGGTGACTTATGTGGTGATAGGAGACACTGAGTGCTCCTTTTTTAGGCTATATGTTATGGTTAGTTTAATATCAGTAGTCCTAAACCCTCTGACTTCTTTACTTCAGAAGTATCACAGGCTTGAAATCCGGAAGAGGAAATGAAAGTTACTGACTTTTTCTTCTATGCACTATATCACCATGAATAAAAGTGTTCTGTTATTTTTCAAGTTGCTCAGAAAGCTTTAGCAGATGGATACCCAAGAGTTTATTGGAAATACCCAAAACGAATTTTATTTTCAAAAATTGAGTGAAACCTTTTTGCACTCTGTTTGCTTAGCGCCTTGCATTTCTTTTGAATATTACCCATTATGGCTGCTAGTGAAAACAAGTAATCTATGACCAAAAGCATCAACTAGTGTCCTAAGCTTAGCCTTCATCCTGTTGTCATGGAGGATGTGAAGTTCTTCAGTTGGGATGACATCAGCATCATTGTACTAGATGTGTCTCAAGTTCAGGTCTGAGGTCATTTACCATGAAATATGTCACATGCAGTGCTGCAAAGAGCTAAGATGTTTTGATTCCTTACTGCATGGTAAATGAATGTCTTCATGCTTCAGTTTTGTAATGGAGTTGTGTTTCTTATTTTGCTTAATATGTGTCTCTGTGTGGTATGTGTATGTAGTTCTCATTAAATTACTGGGGGCTGGCAATGGGAATTTTTGGCCTGAGCTTGCCATGGGAATGTACCTCAGGTATCTGGGGAAAACACCAAACACCTCAGTTCAATTTCTGTCTCCAAGGAGCATAGAATAGTGAAGTGATGCTTTGAAGACACTGTGGTATCTCTCTGTCCTTCTGTATGTAGATGTACAGTATAGTGTTTCTCTGTACTTTTTTTAGATGCAGAAGAATATTTCAAGTTTGGTTTTTTTGTTTGTTTGTTTTTGTGTTTGTTTGTTTGTTTTCCTTTTCTGTGTGGGGTTTTTTTTTTGTTTGGTTTTTGTTTTGGGGTTGTTGTTTTTTTTTTGTGGGTTTGGTTTTTTTGTTTTTTTTTTTTGTATGTGTGTCGTTTTTTTTTTTTTCCCAGTAGTGAGTTAAAGGAGCAAGTGAGACTGTAACCCCTTGCTTCCAGACCTGCGGAATTCAGTACACAGGGACAAATTTTCAGGTGTTCTTAGCTAAAACTGAGTATCTGACTTCATAGTTGGATACTCATCAATAATCAGGGAATTACGGCTGTTGCCTATCTACAGATGTACCTTGGGTTGAAACATTAGTCTTTGGAGAGGAAAAAAGTGGCTTCATATGTAGAAGTACTTTGTATCTAAAGAGAGAGCTCTCAAATCCTTAAAGCAGACTTTGAATACCATGCAATGATGATGCAGTTCTGATTTGGCCACTTGGGAACAGTGGAAGCTTCACAAACTGCCAGTGAAATGTTTGTGCTACAATGAAGTTACCAGTAGGAGAGCTACACAGCCAGGAATCCAGTGTGGTTGCATGGCAAGTACCATTTAACTTCACAATACCAATGATGAAGGCTACTGTATATGCATATTTTTAACAAGTATGCCATATGACCTCCTATTTTTATACCAATCTCCTGAAGTGCATGCATAGGGAACTGAATATTTAAATCACTGTTATGAGAGAGAAAATTTAAAGATATTTGCATAAGTTACATTGCTGTTGTGTGGTTTTTCCTTAGTTGTGCAGGCAAACCAAAAAGAGTTTAAACACTCCAGGAACATGAAGGCTGTTGCTTTTGCAGTGCCTCATGTCACCACAACATGGAGTGCAGATATAAGTATTGCTGCTGGTATATGTTTTGATCTAGCTGTGCTGCCATTGCTGGTAGAAAGAAGATACAAGAGCGAGTCATAGAGACAAAGATACTCTGTTAAGACCTTTGTTTTAAAGGACAAGCTTGCTTTTCTAAAGTGTGCTGTAATGCTAGGAGAAGCATTTTTTTTTCTCAGGTTAATGACAGTCTAGTGTTGTTACCAGCACACCCAGTGGCTACACTGAGAGGATAATATTAGCTGTAAAGGTTGTATGTGTATGAATGAGTGATGTTTTGCTGCAGGTTGACTGTGATTTTACTCTCCTCTACAAATGTTAGAGGTGTATGTGTTGAATGGAAGACTATAGGGCTATTGTTGAAAACTGTACTCACTTGTGTAGTCCCGAGTCACACAAGGGATTGTTCAGTAAGGATTATTATGTGTATAAGAGTATGCAAGATCTGATACACAGGTTTTCTTTTATACTTGTAAAGCAACACAAATTAAAATGTTGAAACACTCCCTTAAGTTGTGCTGGTATCAGTTCTTAGTCTGCTTAGTCTTAAGAAATCCAAGGTAAAGGTGATATAGCACACTGTCTTCTGTTACCACGTAGCAGAAGAAATCTTTTCAAGCAGACCTGACAGAGAATAATTTATGATTAATTTAGGAGTTCCTTATCTCTGACCAGTAATGTTTCCATGCTGTTTTTAGCTGGTTGGGGTCTCAGCAGATTTTGTAGAAGGCAGGCAGTTTAAGAGACCGGTATTATACTGACCAAGATCAGTATAGGTTATTTATTGTCAGAATGAGAATGTTTAGTTGGTTTACACTGAGAATCAGAAAGAAATCATTATGTTATAAAGGATCTTTTAACTTTCGTTCTGCAAACCTGTTTCATGCTTATATGGATTTACCAGGTGCTTGTCTCTGACCTTAGGAATAGCCATCATTTAAATGAGGAGCAGTGAGAGAGGATTTTAGAAGTCCTAGTGGTGGTGGACACCACTATCTGCTAGTAAGAGCTGTGCTTCCTAACACACAGAAGGTAGCTAATCCTCTCTTACAGATGTTATATTTAGTCTCAAGGGATGATTTTTACATTAGTATCCAGCATATGTATTTTTTAAATCAAGTGTAGATTAAAACCTCTAAGAAAGATTTCAGGTTTAGGCCTAACATTGATAACTTCTGTTTTCAACATGGTTTCTTAAAGAAAAGCTTATGTGACTACACTGTTTCTTTGTCAACCCTGTTCTACCCAGTACGTACCAAACTCACTGGACACATTAAAACTAAATTTTTCTAAGGGCAGATATCTGAGGAAATAAAGCAGTTTGATACAAGCTTTGGGAAGGCTATGAGCTTCCAGGAGGAAAAATGGGAATTGATAAAATGATCATCCTGATAAGAAGGGTTTCAGCATGACCTTGCTTACCACTTAGCAAGCCAAGCAATTGGCATGCTTTAGGAGTTATAAACCTGTGTATCACTCAGTGATCCACACACCGGCTACCTCTTGAATTTAGCTTCATTCCCACAACTTCTAGTTGAAGTACAGAAGTAAAGAGGAGGAGGAGGAGGAGGACATAATGAAGTCATGGGAGATAACAGGAGTCACTTCAGTTTAAATGATGGCTTCTACAGGACAGTTTACTTTCTGTATTGTTCCATTGATTGTATAATACTTGAGTTTGGTAATCTGTAATCTAATTTTTTTTTTAAAAAGGGATTTTTTATTTTTAATTCCCCAATAATTCCTATTTTTTTCCATAGCAGCTAATAATATCTAGTCTAAAACAATAAACCATTTTCTGTTTGAGAGGCTTATGTACTAAAGAAAACTCGGAGATACTTGCAGGCCAAATATCATAGCAGTTTTTTATAATCCTGTATTTTAAGATGCAGTTGAGGTGACTACCTCTATTCTATCAGGAATCATACAGGAACATGAAGATATAGTAATTTGGCAGAGATGGTAAGTTTGATTTACCAAGGACAGAAGACTTGAAAAGTAAGAAATGTTAAGGATTATGTAATTTCTTAATGACCAAGAAAAATAAGTATAATAAAACTGTTAGGTCTTGAGTTCACCCTAAAATGAAAGTAAAAATGAAAGGTAAGTGCTTCAGAATGAGTGTTAAAAGTCCATTGAATGGATAATAATTTTGTGTCTTGGAAAAAATGATCAGTTTTATGGTTTTTTTGATAAATCAGCCAAAGATACTTTCAAGAAAATGATCAGGGATGGATTCAGATGGAGAGCAATTCCACAGATAATCAAAGTGAAGATTAATTCATATCAGGCTTCTACATGAGAGGTAACTATCAAACCAGTAGCACATCACCTTGCAGACAAGGCACTAGTGTTGCATTTTGTTGTCTTTATGCATGGATTTGCAGTTCTTGCAAATCTGTCCTGTAGTAAGGTGTGTGCTATACTCAGCAGCCAAGAGAAAAGAGAGGTGCTTGCAGTTGCTTTAGCTTTGCCGTTGATGGCCTTTGTAACACCAGTTATGTTATTTAGAACGTATGTCCTAGCTATTCCTCCTTCCTCTCTGCTGCTTGGTGATCATTTAAAATGGGGATCATTTTAAACAGAAATGGAGAAACAAGGTGGGGTAAAGCTCAGCTGTATTTTTAAGTAGTGCTGCTTTTTAGAGCCAAAGCTGAATGGCCATGAGAAGGGCTGAAGTCATGGAATGTATCCATTCTTCATTGACACACTCGAAATATTAATAATAGTGGGCAGTACAGTAATGCAAAAACATGCAGGTGTTGTTTAAAAAAGTTAGAATGGAAAGGAAATCTTTTAGCATCAACTTTAGGTCTACAAGGAAAGAAAGGGAGATTTACAACCACAGGGTAATTAGGTGTTTCTTAAACATTTTTTCCATTGTGTTTATAGATTAGTGTGGGCTTCCCCTTCTGCCCTCATCCCCTTTCTTCTTTTTAGCAACCAGGAGAAAACAGACCAAACATGAAAAAAAGAAACATTTTTATGAAGAAGTAAAATGTTACTGCAAACCTACAGAAATGTGCAGGGCAACTCAGAAACATTCAGGGTACACCTACAATTATCTGCTGGTGCTCTCTGAGGTGCGTGGTGCAACCCCCAGTAAGGAGTCCGGGTGCAGACAGGCAGTGTACCCCAGCCTTAGAAACTGAGGTCTCCTTGGTCTAAACATAGCCCTGGTTTATTAAAAAAAAATACAAACAAAAAAAACCAAACAACTTTCTTTTTTGTTTGACTGGTTTCATACCAGCACAGTCATAGAATCACAGAATGTTTTGGATTGGAAGGGACCTTAAAGATCATCTAGTTCCAACCCCCCTGCCATGGGCCTGGATACCTTCCACTAGACCAGGTTGGTCAAAGCCCCGTCCAACTTGGCCTTGAACACCGTGAGGGATGGGGCAGCCACAGCTCATGTTGAGCTTCTCATCAGCCAACACCCCAAGTCCTTCTCAGAGTGCTGTTCTCAATCCATTCTCCACCCAACCTTTAGCTGTGCCTGAGCATATGCAGTGTCCCTGACCCACATGCAGGACCTCACACTTTGCCTTGTTGAACTTCATGAGGTTGTCATTGGCCCACCTCTCAAGCATGTCCAGGTCCCTCTGGATGGCATTCTTTCCCTCCAGCGTATCAACCGAACCACACAGCTTGGTGTCATCAGCAAACTTGCTGAGAATGCACTGAATCCCACTGTCCATGTCGCCGACAAAGGTGTTTGAACAGCACCAGCCCCAATACCCTGAGGAACGCCACTCATTGCTGGTTTTCACCCAGACATCAACGCTATGACTGCAAGTGTGAGTGCAACCATCCAGCCAATTCCTTATTCACCAAATGATCCATCTGTCAAATCCATGCTTCTCCAGTTTAGAGACAAGATTGTTAGGTACAACAGTCAAACACTTTCCAGGAGTCCAGGTAGTCTGAACTGTATACATCGTGTTGCAG